CACTAGATAATTTACTGGTGCCAAAACGTGGATTTTATGATTTTATGAAGAATTAATAATCATAAATGAAACATATTAACGTTAACAAGTATATAAGGCAGGTGAATACATGCAAATACCACAAGCAAATACTCACATATGGAGTAAAAATACTGCCGAAAAAAGAACCGAATAACTTAGTGTAAAAAAAGTATATATTTTAGCATGCGCTTTTGTCAAGTGGAAGTAGTTTATCGTACACGGATAAATATAGTGGATCATTTATTAGATTGAATTTTGTCTTTTTCTGTCATATGAAAACAAAGATTGGTTTTGAATGCAAGCTTTGATGATTTGCTTGTAGATTGAATATTTTATTTATTTATTTCTTTATTTATTTGTTTTTAATATTTTAATAATACAGTAGCTAATTTAAAACTTTCAACATTTCTTGGGGTTTTTCCGCGTAAAATCGATCATTAAAGTAAAGTGTTTCAATTTTAATGGTTACAATGTGTCAATTCTAAAAAAAATTTTTCTTTTTTTTTTTCTTACCTTTTTTTTTTTTTTTTGATGTAAAACAATCGCCACTTCCCGAGCATGACAAATACTAACTCTACATAGCATAAGTGTTACAAGTAATGACGAAATGTTTAGGGCGTGGAAACTTAAATAGTTGATCTTGGCCATTTTTAATTCAATCATTTAACAATGGAAGGAAGTCGTGTCAATATTATCTAGTCATAATTTACTATCTTTAAGTAAACATTTTCCGAATCATTGAATCACATGAAGATTTCCTTAAAAAGAAAAGATACATAACGCGTGGCGTACTAACGATTATCCTTCTATGATAGGCTTTAAGTGGATACAATGCTTCTTTCATATCAACAATGATAGGAATTTAATAAAGTTTACCCAGATATCATATTAAATTAATAACGCCTTCAAAAAAATATTTCCAAATGTATTTTTTGTAAAAAAATTTTTTTCTCAGTTGATTTTTTAAATTTATTTATCTTTGAATATGTAACAAAAATATTTTATAAATAAATTTTATTCTAAAATATATATTTATTCTTAAAGTCAATAAATAAATAAATAAAATAAATAAATATATGTATATATGTGCAGTATATTACAATTTTTTTTAAAATTAAAATTTTTTGCAACTTCAATATTTAAGAAACAAAACTATTTTTGTCACGCATAATAAGCCCTAAAAATAATACACATTCGAGATCATTGTGTCAGGATACACGTACTTTTGAACAATTTTTCCGTTGCGATACGAATTATAAAAAAGTCTTAGGTCACCAATCAATTGGATATTGACAGGAAATAAATGACAGCATTTATTAGAATTTATTGAAATTTTTACAATATAGCGCCGAACTTACGTGTGTACGTGTGTACGTACATTTATTTCCACATTTATTTTCATATATTGTACATATTATTAATTAATTATACCCTTTATAAACAGAATCTTTTGATTTATTGCGTTATAATAAAGGTAATATATATATATATATTTATTTATTTATTTAAGGATTTGATTTACTTTAGTTAATGAAGTTAATGAAGTTAATGATTATGCTTTGTGCAAAATTTTTGCGTTCTCGGATAATCTTTACTCATAATATCAAAACTAAAATGTGTATAAAAAAAATATATTATTTTATAGTCTTCTTTTAGTAATAATAAGATGTATTGGGTTAATACATTTCAAAATCTAAGACAAAGAAATTTAATAATATAATGTATATGAACATAATAATATAGGATTTTCGACGTTATGATTATTATGATTAGAATTCTATGAATAAATGCGTACCAATCGTTTTTTTTTTTTATATACGTGGCATACGTAAAAGACGTTATTAAATAAGCACATATAGTGATGAGACTAACAAAGAAACTTATTTGACATATATCATAGCATATAAAATGTGTCAAATGATTTTTTTTTAATGGTCATTATGCATGTCAATTAAACGATCCTCTTTTACTCTGGTTAGTCTTATTACTAAGCACATCGCATTTTACAACAATTATACGTATGTCAAAAAAAAAAAAAAAAAAGATTTCTATTTGAAAAGGTTAATAAATCAAAGCTTTAAATATGTGTATAAAAAATAATTTCGGTTATGATTTTCAAATAACTTGCACTAAATATGTACTCATGTGAAGATTACGTACGTACGTAAGATAATAAGCCAGCAGGCCTATTTTTCGAGGCTGAAACTGTGTCCTTTGTACGTAACAAATGAAAAAACAAGCAATTTTCTTTCAGGATCTCACATGCTCTGCAACTTTTCCTTTTGAGTACAAATTGTTTTTCAATGTTTGTTTAAGGATAATTCCAAAAGTTCTAAAAGGAACGTTTCTAACATTTAATTAAACCACTTTTGAATTCCAATGTTCTGTTTTCTTAAAATGAACTAATCATTCGATCAATAATAATGAGTTGTGCAACAGTCTAGAATCATTTAATGCCTAAAGTAGTACGTGCGTACGTTCTTTTGTTTTTTTCCAATAACCAATTAAAATCAAGAAATTGCACTTGGATTAAGCCGATTATAAAGGTTTATGTTTAGGATTCGGAATTACGAGTAAAAGATTAACGAAAATATCTTTTTGATTAAATTTTGAGATAAATTCTTGAATCTATTGTTTCGTGTAATTCGTTTACGTTGCTCAGAAAAAATGCATTACATAATCATCAAGTTGTCATGTGATTTGTTCTATAATATATGCGCATATACTGTCTATGATTTAACTATTTTCGTATTTTGACGCGTGTTAATATTGGATTTGCAATTATATCTTTATTTCAAAAACCAAGCGCGGGAAGAAAATGAAATGACATGCGCACGTACTTTATATGCGTAGCATTTATTCTTGTTGATCGTTTACATAGATACATACCAGATACGCACCGTACGTACGTACGTACCTGGTACGTATATGTGTACTTGTGAACGGATTACGTCATTCGTGTGATCGCTGCAATTGTTAGACTCAAAAACTAGTTTATATAAAATTTTCTCAATATAGCTGTATAGTGAATTTACTAATAAAACTCTCGATACGGTGAATTCTTACTAATAGTCCGATTACTTCACTATTACTAGAATGACTTGTATCACTTTGAAAATTTAAAGTACAATAAAATCATGTTATTATTTATCATATAATATATTCATTCTTTAAAAGGAAAATGTTATTTATTATCGATGTTTTGCCGATTAAGTTTTTATTTTTATCCTAAGAATTTTTGCCGAATGAAGTTACTATTTTTATCCTAAGATGTTTGCCGAAAATCAAGGTTGTCGAAATAAAGAAAATAAATAAATAAATAAACTAAATACAGATTACATTTGTTTCAATTCTGTCATTTAATTTATAAAGGAAATGACAAATATTACATATTATTTGTTTGTTATGTTCTCAACACAAGGTTGAATAACATTCGAAAATCTTTTTCATCACTCACTACCTGCGTGAATATCGTGAATATCGTGATTATCGTGAATATGTAATATTTGTCACTGAATGCGATATATAAAGGTAATAAAAAATGGTCAACCATTTTTTTTTTCATCGATTTAAGTCAGGTAATGATTAAGGCCCGAATATTTGAAACTCGATTTAAAAAAATCTCAATTATAGTATGGAGATTTAAAAATATTGGTCCTCTCCAATTCTGGGTTCATGGAAAGTGGGAAGTTGTTCGGTTGGCCAGACCGGAACATATCCTTGATGTGTAATGCTCATCATGTTTTCGATTGGCATATTATTTACTTGTGTTCGTTCACCTTGAAATAAAACCTCCGATAAAAAGTAATCGTTTGTTGGTGAAAATGAAAAATGATCATCAAAAGTAATAGGTTCTTGGACATTAACTTGGATAGGTGTAGGTGCAGGTGCAGGTTCAGGTACAAAATTTTGTAATGAAGAAGAATCTTCATTGATGTAATCCCATGGGTTTTTATTTATCCAACGGGACCGTTTACTGTGATAATTTTGATTTGGGAATTGTGTTTTATATTCTTTTCTGAGTTCTTCAAAGACTTTGACATATTTTTTATGTTGAGTGCCTTTGGCAATTGTCCAGGCTCGACTGCTAATCGAACATATATCGGTACCATCAATTTTATCTTTTAAAATTTTTAAAAGGGTATTTATATTACCACGTGTAAGCGTTAATTCTTCCTGACTCAAACGGTTTGGAAGAAAGAATCTAATTTGTGTATTTGCGAGTATCTCAAAATCAATGTTGGTTAACGAACCATTTTTAACAATAGACCTAAGTTCATCATTTCCTATTAATATTTCAAGTTCATCATTTCCTATTAATATCTCAGGCCACATGTTAATTTTTTTCTTTAAAAATTTAAATAACGATTTCAAGTTTTGAATATTGAGATCGTGGATCTCTCTGGTTACATCTGTCTTCATTAAGATGAATGGATTCGAGAATCTTTTAACCCGACCATTGTTTTTCTTCCACTTTCGTCTATGCGATGAACTTTCTACGGGTTGTCCCCAAAATTTATGCCAATCGATTAGACTGTATATGATCATTTGTAATAAAGTCATTGGAAATTCTTTTTTACTGTGGGCATTTTCCCTGAGAGCATTTTCTTTAACTTTCCGGTACTGCTTCATAACTACTGTAGCGATTATTGAATATGGACAGTACGAAGGTCCAAATCATTTTTTTGCTCCCTTTTTATTTTTTTTCGAAAGGGATGTGTCATATAAGAAATTTTTATTTAAAAAACCTTAAATACAGTAATATATTTAAAATATATTAATGTCACATCCCACCTTTTTATTTAAACAAAATATTTTAGGATATTTGAATGAAAGAAACGTACTATGATTTAAATAACTGTGCAATCACCACTAACCAATCTAATTTTACCGATAACTTAACTATCAATCATGAATTTCCTTTTCGAGATAACTGTAACGTATGTTATAGTATACTATTCAACATTCTTCGACTTCCAAAAAAGCATAAAACAATTAATAACTAGTGTAATATATCACTCCGTAAGTCCGATTATGACGTTAGAGCATTTGATATCATTAAAATTCGGAAATGAAGACGCCTAAAATCGGATTTGTACGCGTCGAAATAAAGAACAACAATTTGTTTTGATTGGTTTTTTTAAACTTTATAATGAATACAAAGTGTTTTAGTTCTTTTGTAAACTTATTAGAGTAATAATTTTTGCCATTCGTGATCTTTAAATGTAAAATAAATGTTCTTAAAGTGTATTCTTTTATCAAAGTTCTAAATACATGCAATTATTCATTGCGCTTTACTTTGTAACGTGTAACCACTTAATTGTGATGTAATGCAGTAATGGTTTAATTAGTCTTCCATTCTTGTAAACATAATAATTTAATTATTCGTATGTCTAAAATTCATAAATCATAAATTCGGGGATAGCAAGGCCACGAACCACGTGATCAGTATTCTTAATTAAAAATAGAGTCAAGATTGTCTAGAGTTAGGGCTTAGGTGAAGTTGCTTTATCAACATTCTTATCAACATTTTTTTATTAATATTCAAAAACAAGATTAGACTACAATTTTTTGTATGCTTTATGTTTTTACTTTCTCTTGTTTCTTTGCTTGCTTCGCGCTGATCATTTAGTAAATCACGTGTTATATGTAACATAAGGATAATTTTAAGTTTAGGTCTCGGAGTTCACAAATTTAGCGTGGACTTTCATGCACTAATTTTTTTAAGAGCCACGTGACAAACGTAATTGGATCTGCAATAAATATGCGAACCCTGGCCTATTCCAACGCTAAGGACACTCTTAACTCTTAACGTAGCATTTCTTGAATGTATGCTACATAGATTATTGGCGCTATTGGCGTAATAATCAGCCACAGTGATTATCCATCCGCCTTTGGTCATATAATCATTATAATCATATGACTTTTTAAGAAATGAATTTTTTAAAATGATTTTTACTACATATCACCTTATACTATACACTGCAGTCCGTATCATCATACATTCGTAATGAATGGTAATGAATGAAAATTTCTACTTTGTAC